CTCCATACATCAGCTCTGAAGACCAATTGACAGACATCTTTACAAAGGGGCTAAACCATTCCAGACACCAAGGTCTCTGTGACAAGTTGGGCATGATTGATATCTATGCTCCAACTTGAGGGGGAGTGTTGACTGGTGTATTATATGTACTGTACGCAGGTTTAGTGCCTGCAGGGGTATTTTTGTAATTTTTTGTAGCCCTCTTGTGTTGTACGGCCAGTATAGTATAAATACAAATGCTTCACTCGCATGAAGTTCTTTCGAGGCCTTAAGTCTGCAGCCTCTTCTCTCTTCTTTTTCTTCTTCCTTCCTTTCTTCTTCTGCTCAACAAGATCAATATAGATTCTAACCCTACTCATGCCGATTTCTTTCTTCTATATTTTGTTCTTATATCATGACAAAATACCATTCATCACCAGATTATTTAACAAGTTTGTATCAGAGCACTCCTCATGTTCGCCCTATGCTGACGTGAATCCTGAAGCACTTTTGGCATCAGCAGCCATATAGTTGACATTTGTAGGTATATGGCCAACCTGTAACTCATTACCAAACAAAAAAAAAAACAGATTCTGTAAGACTCAATTTTAGAGTCTTTTCAATGCAAGCTATAATTCTTTTGGTGTTTTTTTGCTATTTTTTATAGATTTTAATCATAAAATCGAGAAAAACCAGATTTGTATCCAGGAGCCTGTATGCTCCAATGTATGGCTTGTTCTTCACCTTTTTGCACATGTTGATATCTGCAATAAGCAAGTGAGTTCAAACTTATTTTAATGACTGAGGACAGCCTAATTTCTTCATAGGTTTATATTGAAGGTTAGACTGCAATCTGCAAAATCTTTCTCTCTCCCAACTTGTCCCGGTACTAAGATGGATTTTACTATAGTTTCCAGTGGAACCCCAAAGAAAGGCAGATTTTAGCCTTTTAGATTCCTGAATTGATGCCTATGTGTTTGGTGATAGAAAAAGCAGCAGCTGTGGTGAGGGTACATCTCCCACTAAGCAGGGTTGCTATATTTCCATCATAGATATTTTGGGTTCTGCCACTAATAATTGGCAGGCTAAACTATTTATATTTAGTAGTAGTGATTGTCTCGTTGGTTTTCTTTTTACATAATTGCATCTCCTTTCTTATAATTATTCTCTTTTCTTCCATTTTTAATTTTCAAGATATCATGTCCACATGCACTTAAGAGGAGTCTACCATCCTAAATGGATTCAATATATGTTTATTCATGGATTTTTCTTGCAGTACATTTAGCTTCGACTTAATCAAGGGCTATGGTAATCTCTTGCTGCTTTCCACTATCAAACCTCGTAGTTGGGGTGAACTATAACACCTCGTTATTTTGGCTGTAGGAACCATCATTAGGCCTATAAATGAACAAGAAATGGATGATTCCCCCATCCCCCCCCCCTCTTTCTTCCTTTTCATGGATAAACAACTAGTTATATATCTGTGGTCCCTTCAGTTCATCATTTTTAGTTAACTTCTGTAGGTGTTCTTCAGTCTTCAAATTTTATTCTATATCCTAGTTGACATCTATTTCATTTCCAATCCTTGTCAGTTTCTGAAAATGGTCTTACTTTGTATGTCAATCATGGACCATTTTAGTGCTAATTATTAAGTTTCACTTAGGAATTCAGAAGCATTAGGTAAAAATAAATTATTTTGATGTGCTGATATGTCAATTTTATTTCATTACTGTTCTAGAATAAACAGTATTCCTACTTCTTTATCTTGCTCTTTATATCTTTACTAGAATTGCTTTAGAAAACTCTCATGTGATCCTGTTTTTGTTAACAATTTTCATTTCTCTTTTTGCAGAACTTGAAAATGGTAAAGATGAATTTCCATGGTTATTTGATATTGAAGCCATGTAAATCACCTACTTGAATGTATTCATACTGCTATCTAATCTCTGTATGTAAATTTAATTTAAGAGGAGAACCATGAGTTGTCACAATAATTGACATAAAAAGGAGACTTCAACATTTATCAATTAGTTGTTTTCTTTATGTGGTCATTATATCTATTATCCAGATGTACTGGAAATATAGGGGACAAGTCATCGTGTAAAGGTGGAACTTAGGTTCACTCAAATATATTAATATCGGAAGGCAGTTGCAAATTTCATCGTCCCTTGTGTAAATGCGCAGGAGTGCAAGTAGGCTGAGTGTATATTATAGTTTCCTTTTGCCTCAGATTTGACCTTGATTTGTTTGTTAATTACAGGGAAAAGTTAAGTATTCACCTTATATAAAGAAAGGTAGGAGGGTCATTTATTGCAAAAACTCTGCTCATATGGTATCTAGCCGCACATTGGGAATATCTCCCCGTACATTTATGTTGAATTCATAGGGATATGTTCCCAACGTGCAGCGGGATTCCCATGCTTACAGTGTATGCATAGGTTTTGTTTGCAGGGAATTTGATCGCTCATTTATTTATGTGATCTCCACTTTATATGAGAGAGAATTGAGGTAGGAGGAAAGTGGTACAGAGTTTGCACAAGGGTTGAATTTTGAGGATGGTGTTACTATTTTTGGCACGGTTTGGGAAGTGCTTACAGTACAAATCTTGTATATAGTGTTTCTAATTTTTGTATTTACGTTCTTCTCAAATTGAGCCTTTATGATACCAGTTTGATTGGTATTAAGATTTTTTTTTTATGTAAAATTGTAAATCATCGAATAAATAAAAGTTGGGGTGCAACACGAAAACTTCCCAAGAGGTCATTCATCTCGCCCAAGCATGCTTAAGTGCTTTACTTTGGAGCATAAAAGTTTTTTTTTCTAGTCCATGTATAGATTATCAGTGTACTAATGGAGGTAACCATAGGAACTGCTACTCATGTTTTGTAAGAATAGAGTACAAGGACCCTTCACTCCCTAATGAAGTGATTGGGCTTCTCTGAGTAGCTGATTGATCAAAAACTAAGTACAAAATATTACAAAGTATCAAGACGATTCAACCCACTGAAGTGTTAAGAGTTAGGGCTATAAGCTATTTAATGGGTTCAAACATTAGTATCCATTCCGATTTGTGTTTGTAAATTACAAAGTATCAAGACGATTCAACCCACTGAAGTGTTAAGAGTTAGGGCTATAAGCTATTTAATGGGTTCAAACATTAGTATCCATTCCGATTTGTGTTTGTAAATTTATCAAACTGGAAAAAAATAGAAAAGAGTAAATTGTTAAAATCTCTGGATAAACTATGGATATGCGATTTGAGCATAGCGTGGTATTGATACTTCGAACCATCTCTGTTGGTGGATACACGGGGAGAGCACTCCCTCTTGGGATTTATGTTGAGTATTTGTGTGTTTTTTTTTCAATGAAATAGTTAATAAATTTGTATTTATTTCTTTAAAAATATGGTGAATATGTTAGAATATATTTGGATCTATTTTGATAGACTTTTTTTTAATGAAGGTGAAATAAAATATAAAATAAAATTGACAGTTGACACATCATAAAAGAATGGCAAGGAAGGAAGAATTGAGGTAGGAAGCAAGATGATGTGACCCCCACCTTATATGAGAGAGAACTGAGGTAGGAGGAAGGTGGAGCAAATCTTATTACTAGTGAGTACAAATGACACAAAAAAGTACAAATTTTGTATCCAGTGATGTAATCATAGATACAAGCAAATAAATGCAAAACTGAACCAGATGCAAAATTTGTATTTAGTTCTGATTTACAGTTTTGCGCTGCAACCAAACGAAACGCAGAATTTGGAAAGGTATTTTAAGCACTAAGAATAAGATAAGGCTTGAGGAGGTTTCTTGTTCTGGAGGATCGATTCCTTTGACAAGGGCAAATGCTAGCTTGTGGGAACACGGTTCTCTATGATGTGAACTGTGAGCCGCTCCCCCTCCCCTCTTGAATTGGCATGCGTCTCACTTTATGACCTCAGCTCATTTCACAGGCTAATAAGACTGACTAGTTATTTGTTTTCTCTAGTAAGCAATGGCATCCATCCGCACATAGGGAACATCTCCCCTGATTTATATTAAATTCATAGGAGGATGTTCTTACCATACAGCTGAATGTCTATGCTTGCAGAGTTTTTGTTTGCACGGGATCCTGTTGTATCAATTTTTTGGAAACTATTTATCCATGTTTTTTATTTCCTAGGTAAATAAGACAGAAAATTTTAGCTATAAAAAAGGAGAATATCGTTTTGCAGAGTGTGTAGAATTTTTGCTTGCGTGAGATCCCATTGCATCTAAGTCCCATTTGTTTTACAGAAAGCTACTTACCTATAATTTTTTATTTTCCAAGTAAATACGACAATGACCGTTTTTTATTTCATCCAAATATTAGCAACCCCTAAAACCTTGGTTGGAGCTCACCTCAAAGCACACCACGTGTCCTATGAAGCAGTCTTATCCACCTGGATCAATGGGAGATGGGTATCACGTTCTATCCGGCTACTGCTCGGCATAGCCATTATATCAGACCCATTGACAATGAAACACGTGTCATTTGTCGTACTGCAATATGATGAGAAAGTCTAAAACTGAACTTGCGTCCAGGGACAACAGGGGAAGTAAAAGAGAAGACTGAAACTTTGGAAGCTCGCAAAGAAGCTTTGGAGAAATTGTTAGTTTGTTACTACTAGCATCAACCCTCATGCATGGTGGGAACCCATCAAGGGTGATCATTTCAGTCCATTCCAGAAATTCCAGGTTTGGACATAAATTTTGGCCAGGCCAGGCTTGGGCTCAGGCGATAAATACCCTTGTCACAGGTGCAAAGTCTGGTTCATGATCACCCCAAGAACTCAACTTCTTTTCGACAAAGAGAAACCAATTTCCTCTGAGAACAAACAGCTGCATTTTGATATATTGCGGCCCTGAGGCGACATTTGAATCAAAAGTCGATTTGAAGCTGAGATCATCTTTTGAATCTTCCAGTTTCACACTCCAGAAACTCTTCATTCTACATCACTTAAGTCATACCTGCGGAGGTTTCATTTTCTCAAAGACCAAAAAGGCAACATGCCGATAAGAAAATGAACAAGAGGAAAATATCACAATTTTCTTTATATTTCTTAAAAATCATGCTTCAGTAGACCAGCATCAAAAGTTGTCTTTGATTTAATGCCTCAAATAGGTTGTAAAACTAGAATATTAACATAAAATTGAGTTAAATTCAAAAATAGTGCACTCAATAGGTCTTCGGTGTAACCCCCAATTGGTTACAAACAAGAAAACTGAGATGGTTTACTTAATAATGTACACAAAACAGCCTATGATGGGTTTATCAAAAAACAAAGTAACCTATGATGGAACCAGTAGTATTGATTTGCAAAAAGGCTCTGAAAAGAACGAGAGGAAAACCAAAGCAAACATTGGCTGCAATGGTAGAAAACAATCTAAAGACCAATTGTTTTACAAGAAACGTTACTCTTGATAGAGCGCACTCACTCACTCACAGAACAAAATTTGTCATTTGTGTAACCAACCGAAAATAGTTGGATTAAGTTGAGTTGCGTATCGACACCCAAATGATAACTAAATTACACAATAACATGTCTTCAATAGAGCTATACATTAGGTTTTCAGGCTGGATGTTTATTCTTCTTTAAGGAAATCCAGTTGCTCCATGGAGGTTTGGAAAAAATTAATACATAGAAAGCCTCCCATTCTACCAATTTCTACTAGTCATTGTCACATGGTACATGTTGCACATGAAAAGAATGGTGGCACGGTCATATAACTATTGTGTATTTTCCTCACCTTCATGGATTTCCTGTAGAGTGGGCTGCAGAGCAATCTCCCCCATATGAGCAATGGCTCTCAAATACCATGCATTCTTGATATATTTGCTTTGACCTGCATTCTAATGGTATAACAAAAAGATAATGAAAGAGGTGATCCTTAATCAGCAACAACAATCATGGACATACATACGATTTTACTAAAAATCAGCATAATATTTTACATGTAGAAATGTAAAATCAGCCTATTTTACAAATTACATTACCTTCTCTCAAAAAACAAGTGACTTATTAGATGATCCAATGCATAAGGGCCAGGTCCTAGTCCACCCAAGTTGAGAGCACAAAGATATGGCACATACGAAAACTAACACATGAGGTAATCCAATGCAGGTGCAGAACCTGGTATCAATAGTTGTGATTCATATGCAGGTCAAATGCCTAGTGGTGAAACCAGACATAACATCTTTATCACTTGTGATACTGCCATCTGTATATGGTGCAACCTTTTTTTATCAGACAAACACAATTGGATACTGTGCCAGTACTTGGCACTCAGCACAGCAACTGTAACAATGTTGACAATGCTCCAAACCCAAGTGTGGAGAATTGACAGATACACTTAAGAGACCATTTGATAACAGCTGAAATAGCTAAACTGAATGAGTATTGCTTTCTCTCTGTGGATAAATATAATGCCAATATTTTCCTGGCTTCACATCCAGACCACAACCATGAGAAAAAATCTAATCCATTTATTTTCCTCGCTCTTCTTGTGTGTCAGTCAACTAGTAATAATATAATAAAAGGTAAATTAAGATATTATCATTTATCACCCTGTACAAAAGATTTCTATTCACCCCTTGTTTAGCTAAAGTATTCACCATCCCATTAGCAGATCTTCTCACCTATTGTATGCTCAAATTCATCCTTCTAGTTAGTCATTTAAACTTTTCATCTCATCCCTAAAACAACAAATTATAGATTTTGGTTGCTTCAACCACTCCACCACCAGTTTTGAATTCTCTTCAATCACTGCATTTAGCATATTCAATTCACTTGCAATTTTAATTCCTTGTAGTACAGTAAGTAATTCAGCTCTAGCCGAGTCGTCCATTCCCATTGGACCTGAGAACAAAGCAATAACATGTCCTCCCATATTTCTCAAAGCCCCTCCTATTACTGAGGGGCCCGTGTTACCTTGGCTGCTTCCGTCAATGTTTAATTTTACAAATCCTTTAGGAGGAGGCTGCGAAACCATATGCACCTTTTCCTTCTTAGAGGAGCTCTTAGTCACCACTTCCCAGTTTCTCCATATATCATCAAAGGAGAACTGCAAGAACAAGTCCAAAGTTCTAATCCAATGAATCACCCCAGCCATCAAACAATCTCTCATCACTTCTTTGCTTCTCTCCTTTTCTGTAAATATTCTTATATTCCTCTCTTTCCAGATAGTCCATATCAAAAGCAGCCCTCACACCTCCACATGATTCTCCCCCTTTTCTTAGGCCAAGCAAAAGTAGAAAGATATGAAAAAGTGGAGGTAGAAGGGGATTCTTAGGGTGTGACTGGATCAGGCAGGGTGTCCCAGTCCTGAACTGATTATTAATCAGGAGATTCAGGACAAAATCATACACCCAGAACTGTCCCGATTAATAATTGAGATAATCAGGTCTAACCTGATAGACCTGATTATACTGACAGCCATAATTATTTATATAAATAAAGTTAAAACTTGATTTTTAAAAATATAACCTTAATAAAAATGATAGTAAAATAGTAAATTATTTATATGTTAAAAAATCAAGTGTTTTTAACTAAAATTATCTAATATATTATCTATCAAATTTACCATTTATGACAAAAATTACAAGAAAAAGTAGGGAACCTTTATATATTATTAAGAAAGTATTCAGCTCGGGTCTCATTGTCTGAATCAATTCAGAATGAGCAAGAACCAGAACCAACCCAAATGTTAATCAGGACAAAATCACAGGACCAGAACAACAATAGCTGGTTAGGTTTGGTACGGTACCAACCTATTGTGAAGAGCTTTAGCAGCTTCTAGAGGCGACTGCTTTTCTTGTATGGGGTACTCATCCATACCCCCCCCCCCAATAACACCTATTGCCAAGAACTTTAGCAGCTTCTATTGTCAAGAAATGGATGAGTCCCCCATAACACCTTGTTAAGGTAAGTTCTACCATGGCTGAGGTGACTGCTTTTCTTCTGGATGATAAAGGCACCAAAGACTTACTAACTTGTGGAGTGAGATAAGAATGCTGCTCTCTCAATCTCAGACCAAGATTAGATGGACAGTGGAGACAAAAACACACACGTGCATACACAAATAAAAAAAGAATAACGCATATGAATGGGGAAATAAAAGAGAGGGCAAATTGGCATATCTCAATCTTAATGCAGGATTAGATGGATTCTCTCACCCAGCTGTGTAGATCTAACCTTCTACATATTTCTAAAATGTTCAGCAAGCAGAAATAGCCTCTTATGGTACCATAGCGCAAATATCATAACACTTAGAACATGAACCCACCACCACCACCAAAGAAAATAATAAAAACTCATTCAGACTGTGAGTCAAACATCTGATTTGGAACATACTAGTAACTATTAAGTATTACACAAATTGCAGATTGCATACCTGGATTAGAACTAAAATGGTGGAGCTAAAGCTGCATCATCAATCCATGAAGGTTTCTTTGCATTGTAGTAGAAATGAGCAATCATTTGAACCAATTCATCAGATGTTCGGATGTCTGCAGATCCAAAATTCATGTTGTTGGACAGAGAATGGAACTCCAACTGACTAATCATAGTAAGAATTGGAGAAAGAAGTTTTTCATTACTCCAAAAGAGAAAACTCACAAACCAACCTTTCTCTCTGTATAAGATCCTGTTTCCTCGAAGGAATAAGAGCTGTGGGCATTCTCTAACTTTGAGGGCATAAGCTAAGTCTCTCTCAATGTTGATATCAATTTTGACAGCCTGTCTTTAAAAAAATCAAGGTCACATTGCTTATAAAAGTAAAATTAAAAAATAGATTCTTATATCCATAGATGGAAACAATGAAAAGAAGGAGATGAAGTGCAGGTAAATGGATATAAAAATTTTGGAATACCCGGGGAGGCAATCGATCTTTTGCTTTCCAGTAGATCTTGATTGCTTTCTCCAACTCCTTCAAGAATTTCCAGTTATCAGTTGCCCTGTGTATACAAAAGTCAAGCATCGGATGCTTTTAATAACAATAGTATTGTGAAAATAAGCACGTCTTCCTCCCACATACGCCAACATGTACTAACATTTGACAAAGAGAAACTGGTTCATATTATACTATGCCAAGATAGGTGTGGTTTCCTTGTGCTGCACTTGCCTTTTATTTTTCAAAATCTTGCAATTTATGGTATGATTTAAACCATGAATTCCAAGGACAATTTGATTCATAAATATCACAATTTATCCAATCCATACATTTCAAACAACTTCAACTAGAATCTAGTTCTCCATTTTGTCATTTTTTCTTTAATTTTTTTATCAATAATAGAACTTTTATTAACTTTTTTCTTTAATTTCTCTCAATAGACTTTTGGTTTTAAAGCACTTACTAGAATAAAACTTATTTAGGCCATTTAAAACCAAACAGTCCCTTTTGAGTTTATTTTCTATCATATGTAGGATAAAGAACCATTTTTTTTTGGATGAATATAGGATAAAGAACCATTACATTTAGGTTAATAGACTTTCAAGTCAAACAGGTTCTATCATCTTATGCTTCTAGTATACAAATCATGGACTTTCTTGTACTGAATATTTATGATGGATACAGATTAAAAATAGGGTATGTTTTCAATATATATTTAATTTTTAGTATATATAACTTAAATGTTATGAAATTCTATAAAAACAGAATAGTACGTATAGCCAGGATCCATGGTTTGATTCAATTCAATCTGCTTCATAATTGACAATATGATTATGGCTTTTAAATCATTCACAGGATTTGTGCATATTCTATATGCAAGATGTTGTGTCAAGTTTTGTACCGAGGTTCAAAGTATTGGAAATGCAAAATGTATCAGAAAAGCAGTTTAAAATAATGTATCAGGATATGCTTTGGATATACATAGATATGAACCAAAAATTAAGATACGCATGGATGTGTTAGAAACTCTAATAAATCCTAAAAAAATATATTAATAAAAATAAATGCAAGTTTCATATGACTATAAATAAGTTATTTAAACATAAAAAATACTTTAATGACTTATTGAGATGCAATTGGTAACTGTTGAAAAATGATGGAAGAACTAAAATATGTAAATATATACCTTAATTTTCAGAAAATCAATATAATTTATTTTAATATATTTAATAATCAATTTTAGCATTTACTGAGAGACTTCCTTTAAGAACAGGAAGTTTACTTAAGAATAAAAATGCATATATTTATAACAAGTAAATAAAGTAGGGTGTAGTGGTGGACTTCTCATTACAAATTAATGACGGGGGTTCAAACCTTCCTATTACCTATTTCTAACTTCTTATACACAAAATTGTATCAAATTCGAATTATGGCACTAGAATGGCTTGCCAAATTTGAACTTGAAAACTTGCCTTAAATGTACTAGTGATTAATGCAAGAGGGAGAGGGAGCAATAAATGAAAAAGATTAATAAGAGAGAAAGAGGGAGTAATTAATGAAATTTGAATTTGAATAGCCTGGCTTAGGGGCTTTTAATATGTAATATGAAAAAGATTAGGTAACGATCAAAAAGAATATGAAAAAGATTAGGAAATTTAAATTTGAAAAGTGTTAATGTGTCAGCCAATACCCTAAACGTATTGGCCCATATTGGATCTGTATCAGCTGATACAGACACAAAACAGGCCGAGACAAGACCATGTTGGTCTAATACAGCCAAAAAGGAACAGTACATAGGAATTCCATGTGTTCCTTGTACCAGACTTTCATAGAAATGATACATATCGGCTGATATGTTGCGAAATTTTGAACCTTGTTTTATGCATTAAAAGAAGATTTTTGGAAGTCAATAGAGTGAAATCAAATTTTTGAGAAAAGTAAACTGATTTCATTAATAAAATAGGGGGTACACAAGAGGGTGTACAAAGAAAACTAAAAACAGGGATCAAACCCCTGAGAATTACATAGGAGGGGTCTCATCACAATACAGAACTTCTAAAAGAGGACCTAATTTTGCTAGCCCATCTGCAAGAGCATTAAGTTCCCTTGGAATCCAGTACAGGTTTAAATTTGAAGATGCCAATAGATCCCTTGCCTCTGTCAGAAAATGACTGAGTCTCCACAGCCCAGCCTCCTGTCTTTCTAACCACTTTATAGTGTTTTCTGAGTCTCCCTCTATGGATAGATTCTGAACACCTAGTCTGTTGATTAATCAGATTCCTGTGATTGTGAGTGCAGCCATCACTTCTGCCTTGGTAGAGTCAGCTATGCCGATCAGGCCGCTGTACACCCAGAAAATGTTCCCATTTTCATCCCTTAATGCTCCTCCAATATCGGCAGCTCTGGGGTTTCCTGAAGCACTGCCATCAAAACTTAGAGTCCAAGTTTCTTCCCTCCTGAGGAATGGACCCCTGTGGATGTGGGGGGGAGGTGAAGAGGAAAGCACCAACAACCCTGTTAAGGTCATTTATAGAGACTCCTTTAAACTTGTCTGAGCAGGAAGCCCACTGATTACATAGGTAGGTGATGTGGGAGATCAGGTCAGTCTTGGATTTAGCCTTATTCTCAAACAGTTGGCTATTCCTTTCTTCCAAACTCCCCAAAGTACAGCATGCAGTACTATTTGCCAATACACCTTACCTCTCTTACTCAAACCTTTGCCTTGCCACTGATGGAGTAAGTCCTGGAGGTGATTTGGAGCAACCCAGCTGTACCCAGCTAGCTGTAGAAAATGGTTCCAAATGTCCCTGGTTTCCTGACAGTTTAAGAAAAGATGATCAGTTGATTCCCCTTCTCTCAGGCAAAGGATGCAGACATGAAGGGAGAGAAAAAGTCTGCCATAATTCTTCTTTTGCAACAGCTCACAAGTGTTTATCCTATGCAGGCAGGCCTCCCATACAAAGAAACACACTCTGGAGGGATGTAGTTGGACCATATCTTCTTGGAAGGGAAGTTACAGTCCTGCTCTTCTGCAACCAGAGCCTTAAAAAAAGATTTGGAAGAGAACTCGCCTACAGGGTGGGGCTTCCAGAAACGGGAGTCTAGGGAGTTGAGGGAGATGTAAGCTTCTCTGAGGTTGAGGAGGAGTTCAGTTAACTCACTAATCTCCGAATCCCTTAAAGGTCTTCTAAGGCTCAAGTTTATGTTGCTCTCACTAATAGAGTGAAATCATATTGATAATAGAATTCCTTTCTCTTTCAAAGAAGTTGAATCATATTAAGTTAAAGCTAAATTTTGGAAACGAACAAGCTGGATTTGGTATAAGTTGAGATTAACCTGAGAGGAATGATTTGGATTCTCTGCCAACAGGGGCATGGCAGTGCAGATTACCTGATTAACACCCCCCCCCATTAACACCCCTACAACAAATATTAGATATCAAAGTCCAAGGACCAATATACCATTGGTGTTTTAAACGTGCAAGGAACAAAAAAACACACAGGCCATTTTGTGCCCAAGGCCTGCGCCTTTTTGAAGCAAGGCACAAAATTAAAAAATAAATAAATAATGCAAAAGAAAAGTAAAAAGTTTCAAAATAAATTAAAAAATATTAAAAATAGTATTAATTTAAAAAAATTCAAACTTTAATTTTAAACTAAATGTTTAAAAAAAACTATTAGCTCAAATTTAAATACATAAACATAGCATATAAAACATATTCAAAGTGAAAAATACAAAAATAAAATAAAAAAATAGCATACTAAACACATTCGAGCATGTCAAACTTTTAATTTCTTTATTTCTTTCTCAATTGCATCATTTCAAATAGTTAATGTCATGTTACATCTTTCTTCTTTCATTCCTAATTCTACAAGCTGCCTTTGTACCAAGCCCAAACAAGTCCATGTTAGGGTCTCGAGAACCCCCTATTTGCTAATGTTGTTCATTCATTAATCCTAATAAAAGATATCTTTAAAAGATCATCAAAATTATAAAATCATTCTTTTAAGGTTTAAGACCCTAACATGGGCTTGTTTGGACTTGCCCCAAGGGGCTTGCACAGGGTCTGGGGGCAGAGCCCCCGGTCCAATCACCATGCTTAAAAAACACCAAAAAGTGCAAAAATAAAAAGGGCACACGCTTGGACTTGCCTCACTGACACCATTTAATAACAACCTCCCACTCTGTCTTATTATTCACTGTACAGTCTCCCCTTTCCCTCCCTCCCACTCTTGTGAATTCTAACAGTCATATAGACAATAATTTTTTTATGTGCCAACTGCCAAAAAGAACAATCATATAAACAGTTCTCAAACAGAAGAAGAATAAAGAAGAAAATAACATTCAAGAATCAAAACATGCCAGTGACACATACATAAACATGATCTCTCACTTGGGAACAGTCTATGCAAGACATGTCAGTAACTTGTGATAATAACAAAGCAAGGATGATTACAGAGTTTCAGTCAAATTCTGTTTCGGTCAGTGCACTTTGGACTGTAGTTAGTTCATATAGGGATAAAAATACCGGATACGAAGCTATAAATCACTTAAAGTTACACATAAAGCGCATTTTCACAATAACTACAATGAAGGAACCTACCTGTTGTATCTTTCAAAGACGAGAACCATCAAAGGACTAGGATGGAACGCAAAGCTCTCCCATTCCAAGCAATTAATCTCTTTGACCCAGTTATCATCAATCTCCCCTTCCCAATCAATCTCAACACCGTCCTCCCCAACCACATTCCTGATAGGATGCTTCTCGAAGTACTCCGACGCTCTAATCCCCCACCCCACATCCGCATCCAACGGCCAATTCGGGTCATCTTCCTCAACCACCACCTCCTTCTTTCTCGGATCACCATCGCGGTCATCTTCATCATCGTTATCATCAACTTCATCATCGACTCTGTCTTTCAGAACCTGCTCTTTGTCCTCCAACACCTCCGCATTCTGCTGTCGAATTGAGTCAAACGTCCGTTCCAGCGAGTTGCGAATGAAATCTTCCACAGCATCCGCTTCTCTCCTTCGGCCTCGTCTCGGTTTCCGCGGGATAGTCGTCGGAAAAACTTCGCCGGAATTTTCAACTTCTTTCGAAACTTCTCTTTTCGGACGACGACCTTTCGTTTTAGGCTTGGAAGCAGGGTCACGGTTTGAGTTAAAGTTCCGGGCTGGCTCAGAAGTTGCTGAAATCGTGAAGGGAGAGAGAGATTTTTTGATAAAATTGGGGTTTCGAGGAGAAGAGGGGAAGAGTAAGCGATTCCAGCTAAGACCAGGATCGACGTTAGGGTCTGGTGGGGAGAAGAAGAAGGAATGAGAAATAGGCCTAGGGTTTAAGGCACCGAGGGGAGTGAAGAAGGGTTTTGGGCTGAACGTTTGAAGGTTCATCTCTCTCTCGCTTTCCCGGGAAAGTAATCTGGATTAAAATTTGATGTTCTCTACACGAAAATATCCTCCGGATGTTTTTGTTGCCACGTATTATATTTTGGTCAATTACAAAAACCACGTCAGCTTGATTTGTGGATCCACGTCAGTCCGTTTACGGTGCAATTTTAATTTGTATTAACTCCATTTTTGCGGTGTTTGGAACGGTCGCGTTTATTGAATAAACGCTGCCACATAAGTGAAACTTTCAGCATTTCCCTCGTTAGGCAGTTCTATATACACAGAGACTTGCAAAAGCAAGCATTGATTTATATATGTGCATGGAGAAGTTTCATTTTAGCGTTTCTTTTAATGAGTATGCATTTATTCACTATTTTATTGACAATGGTGTCTAAGGAGCCTAAGTGTCAACAAATGGGTTTATTATTATTTTTCTCGATTTTGCAAATAAATCAAGTACAAACATTTAGTGAATAAAAGTCCATGATTCCAAACATATACTTTGTCATAGGGTTAGTTGTTGGGGCCGTGTGGCACCCGAATGCATCAAATAAACTTAAAAGATAAAGCAACAACACAAAAAAGTGCAACAAGATGGTATACAAATTAATCAAGAGGCATTTTGTATTCCATTAAGTGTTGGCAAATACAAATACACAAGTTTGTCTTGAGGGGATCTCGTGCTTAACTTTTATAAGATACTGGCATCACTCAACTACCTACTTCCCCTCAAATAGTAAAATAAACTTTTGGGGGCGTGACAAAAAGATACATCAAAATGTTAAAAAATCATACTAGTAATTACAATAGTGTCATTAACATTTTTCCTTTACAAAATACATGAACATAGTGATGACTCTTGAAAGTGCGGTGAAGTGAGTACTTGTGACAATTTGATAGGTCAAACACAAAATCCCCCCCTGAAATTTTTTAACAATCATAAAACCCTCCCTTTTAGTTTCATTTTAATACAAAACATCCCTTAAACATTTAAAAAAACTCAACAAAAACCACCCTTTTGTTATTGATTAAGAAGGAAAAAGGTATAAAATTACGAATGAGAGGAAGAAGAGGCAATAAATATCAGCAACCATAGACCATTGAACAAGGAAAAAAAGAAGGAAATTAAAGAAAACTGATGCCATATATGTCAATACTAAATTGATGGAATCGAACCTCATCCAATCATTGTCTTCAAAAGAGAAACTGTAACCAATAAACCAAAGCCTGAAGTAGATGGCGATCCCGAGACACAGAAGCAACACCAAGCCAATAAAGATTGGACCTGTCACATACACAACCATTGGTTCTTTGTCTATCTGTTGTCTCTTGTTTGCTTGCTCATTTTTTTCAACTTATCATCCAAAATGCAATGCCAGTCTAGCTTTTCAAAACATCCCAACATAAAGTCTGTGAGAACAGAGAGCAGATGATATAAAGTGGGGGTAGGCAATGGCCCACCTAGGGATTTTAGAGAGGCTTTTTTATTCTTGTATTGAAATGAAAACAGTTCGGGTCTCCTGCTCACAAGAACTCTATCCACATCTACCCACATAACATCGTAGCCGCACATGGAGGACATCTCATCCTCCTACATAATATTTATATACAGGGAGATGCTTCCAATGCACGGGGGTAGTGTGTTGTGGGTAAACGTGGGCAGAGTTCTTGTGGACAGGAGATCTGGCACCAATGAAAGAGCGTTGAAGATGCTAATTGCTTCCATTTAATAGAACAGAATTGTACCAGCAGCCAACTGGTGAAGGGAGATAAAGTGAGCAAAGGAGGGCAAATTGTGGAAGTGTTGTTGTGAAAAAGAACGGTAACAAATTGTGGAAGTATTGTTTCTTGAATGAGGGCAATTTTGGGATTTTAAGAAAATTTAAGACATCGAGTAGATTAATCAGGAGTAATTGGGTAAGTTTATACATTTCGGAGGGCAAATTGTGGAAGTGTTGTTGTGAAAAAGAACGGTAACAAATTGTGGAAGTATTGTTTCTTGAATGAGGGCAATTTTGGGATTTTAAGAAAATTTAAGACATCGAGTAGATTAATCAGGAGTAATTGGGTAAGTTTATACATTTCCGGTCTGCCTCAGCAAAGGAAGGGAGGTTTTTGTTGAATTTTTTAAAAGTTTAGGGGATGTTTTTATTAAAACGAAACTAAAGGGAAGGTTTTATGATTGTTAAAAACTTTAGGGGAGGTTTTCATATATTACCCTTTGCTAAAAGTGCAAAGACAAACATGCACAATGTAAGAGTGCAAATTCTGATGTTGCACTTTGTGCTTTTACACAAGTGCAAGCTATTTAATATAGATAGTATGTTTGCATCATTTGTCATTGATGGATAGTAACCATACAATACACATTAAAGTATATCTTATATATATGGGATACTCTACAATTGGGTATGTATATTAAGAGTCATAAGTATTGGCATGGTATGCCTTTGTATTGAGTTGTTTCGTGTTGTTTTAATGGATATAGTCTAAGGTTTTAAAAACTGACTCAAAAATAGAACCATGGTGGCCACTAGTTTTTGGGTAAGTGGTTCAATCATCTAAGTTAAATGGTTCAAGTAGTTTGTAGATTAACCTTTATATTTGAATATTAGGATAAATATATCATTGCTCTTTTATGAGGAAAGAGAGAAATGAGTGGTTGTATGCTGAGAAAAAAAGAAATAAATGAAAGTCATGGTGCGTGATCTGGTCACTCCTAACTGGCGGATGCGTGGCTCTTGGGTGGTACCTGAGATGGAGAAGATGAGGAATCCCCGGGGGCTTGCCTGGCGGGAACACTCCAATGCTTAAGTTAGAGCTTTATGAAAGATGCAAGAAGGGTAAAGGAGGCTAAGAGTGCAGATAGCGCGAGTATCAGAAGATTACCTCTGCCCTTTGGGATTGGGGCTACTTATAACAGAATTCTGTAGAATCAGGCCCACCTGCTTCTGTCAGGGCAGGTATAACCGCCACTGTCGTCCTGCCGTAGCCGTTACAGATAGGGCTGAGGTGGCACACGCGGGGCCGTCGTTGCAGGGTACGTACTTGCCAAATGTAAGACATCTTCCAAAGGTAGCGGGCACGACACTGTCTGACAAAAGACGTGATCGCAGTCTCCAGGTTTGTTGGGCACAGTTGTCAAGCAGGAGATCTTCCTGTAATATGCCGAACTGCTCTTCTGTGAGCTACCCTGCAAGTGGCGAGCTGCCTGCGGTGAGCTACACCGAGCCGCCTGTGGCAAGCTACACCAGTGGCACTGACCCGAAGTGTCTTTACCTCAGGGTGACTAGAGGCGGATCGGGGTGTTCCTTTTTTGGGAGTGGCCTAGAACCCACTGGGAGGAGCTCGGGCATTAGGAAAAGTCAGGAGGCCCCGAGCTCGGAGGCAGCTCGGAGCGCTTCATCCTTGGGAAAAA